CCTAAACCCTAAACCCAAATCTACATGGCAGACACACCTGGTCTAGGCAACAATCACTTCACACTCCCAGCGGTGGAAACTTCTGACCTTTGGATGTAATCATAGAACGCCAATCTCCAAACCTTAGTAACAAAGAGGAAGTCGCGGTGCACTCCTCCTAACAAACTAGTATCCTACAACAGTAGTTATAGGTAGTACATACTATTGGGGGGATCCAGCTTCACACCACAAAACTTAGGCGTCAATATGCCTATTCAAAAAACCGAGCTCCCACAAGTCAGAGCGTAGGCCGGCATATCACGTGTATCGATCAGCAGTGTAGTACAAACTGTAAGATATCACCTGGCTTAAAATATCAGTAATACCAAGAGCACTGATCATGCTAACAATATTACTTACTGACAGACAATAGTTACTACTCATATCTAATACATATAATGCTAACAACCCTTTCAAAACTAATAAATCGGTCCAAGATGGTCAAAGCGAAGTCAAGCCAAAGGGCTCGTTCTGCACGTCGAGGTGCCGTCGCCACCTCTGCGATGGTGCGGTTTCGAACAAGCTCTTCGTGGCAAAGGAGGAGCGGTGCAGCGGGTGCCTTGGGACTAACCATGTCGGGTCTGAGAGTTGGGTACATAGAAGGTTGGTAGAATTGCGGTGTAGACTGTTCACGTATACGTAACTTTTCAACATGTGAACCTCAAAGTCGGCTAGCTTCTACTAATGATGTCAAAGGCAGCTCCGTGGCAGGGAGACTTCTGTATTCATATGCCTGTTTGTGGTTCCGCAACATCTGACAGTTATTCGACATACTCAGGGCCTTTGGAGGAGCCCGCGCATTGAGCGGTGAATCTTAGAAATCTAGCACGACACCTACTTGCAGTTTCCTGAGTCACTACCCGTATTTTCCTTGCTCAGGCTGGCCCTGTTGCTGCCAGCAACCGCCTGCCACGCGGTCCAAACTAGTGGATATCTCTCCGGGCACTCCGTGCCTGAAAGTGTCTCAGGATGAGTCTCCCCCTTTAAAAAGAGCCCCGCTAGGCAAACCTAAGTAGTAGCTTCCATGTTACTTTCCAGTGTCCCTATATAACCCATTGCTATAGTAGTTTCCATTTT